GCTGATGCAATGGCGGCGCGAAGCCCGACGCAATGGCGATTCCGTCTGTTGCGGGGCGCCGCGATGTTCGCGTTGCGCCGCGCCCAGGGCGGCGCCCGGCGGCGTCGCGGCGCCGGGGCAAATGCTTGAGGGGTTAGCGCATGGGCCGAAGGCGTTGTTCGACGTTCGACTGCGTGGCCCGAGGTCTGTTTCCGCGGCCCCACGCGTTGCCGTTTTTTTGGTGTTTGTTTGACGACCCGTCGCGCTTGAGGATCGACTCCCGCGGCCGCCGCTGAAGAGGAACCGCCCGTGGGATCCTGGGGCCGACATTGGAATTATCACTGGGGGAGCGCACTCCTGGCGCAAATCCTCCCGCGAGACGGACTGAGGAGGCCGAGCGACGAAATTCGTGCGGCGCGGATGCGTGTTGCCATGAGGCTGGTCCTGCGCGCCTCGAGCTCTTTGGCTTTGTCCTTGGACTTTTTTTTCCTGGCGTCGCATGTTTTCCATCGGCCCCTCCGTCCTCTCATTGGTTCGCGTCTCCCGCCGCCTTTTTCCTACTGCGGCTGCATTCGCCTTGAAATGCGTCTGCCCTTGTTTCTTGGGCCATGGAGTGGTCCGGTTTGAAATCCGCGCTTCCCTGTTTTACGTCTTCTTCGCGCCTCCGTGGCGTGGGTCTCGCGCAGCGGAGCGACTGCCGCAGGCGCTTTGCAACCGCGCGCGCAAGAATTTCCCCATCGCTTTCGTTGCCAAGTTTCCGAGGCGCCGCCCTTGATTTGGGCCGCGCGGCCGCCCCAACATCGGGTGGGGCGTCTCGCGTTGCTCTTCGTTGCCCCCCGAAGCATTCGCGCCCGTTTTCGTTTGTTGGCCCCGGGTGTTCTCCCCTCTTTCCTTTTCTTGGGTCGGGTCCCAGGGTAATTTTGACTTCGGAGCACGCGGCTTGGGGTTTTTCAGGCTGGGGGTGTTCTGTGGCCTTCGTTTTTGGCGCGCGCTCGTGTTTGTGTCGACGTGCTCGTTTTGGTTTCGGGGGATCGCGGGCCCGTCTGGGCCCTTCCCCCCGCCGTTTTTTTGGTTACCCTGGCGCTTGCTTGCGTTGTTGCACGGGGTGGTCGCCGCGGCATGTGCGTCTTGGCGATAGGTGTCGCCGGCGTCGTGAAGGGCGATTGCAAGGGTTTGCTGATTTGCGGCAGGGCGCCAGCTCAAACAACTTGCGGACACTCGGCCGCCTTCACGGGCGAGCCAGGGCCCATCGGACATAGAGGTGTTGACCGGGAGGGGGGCGTGGTCCATAGACCATTCCATCTTGAAGCGTCTTACACCACGAAGAACCCGAATCAGTGGATTTATGAAGTTTCCGATGGAGCCCCAATTCCTTTGTCTCTTCCGCAGAAGCGTTCTAGTCAAATCAACGTATCATACGTTCGTATTTCTCTCTTTCTGTATTCATATGTGTTGTCTCTCTCTATCTCTCTCTCTCCTCTCTCTCTCTCTCTGTCTCTCCCCGTTTTTAATTGTATCCCGTTATCTCCTTCGTTTCGTTTGTTTTCTCTCCCTGTCTGTCTGTCTGTCCATTTCTCTCTCTCTCTGTCATTCTCCCTCTCTCTCTCTCTCTCGTAAAATCAATATCACCTTCTCTCGTTATCTCTCGCCCTCTGTCTCTCTCCTCCTCTTTCCTGTATGTACATATAGTTGTGTATGTCTGTATATCAATATACTGGTATATATACACGTGTAGCATTCATTACATAGTCCTTGGCATACCATTCCCCATACTGTCATGTGCACATATATATATATACGCATGTATGTGTACAATTACATATACATACATACATACATGCATTTGCTCTTCGCTTGTTTCTCTCCCTCTCTCTCTCGCCACCCGCCTCTGTCATGTGTATTTATCCTTGTTGTTTGATAGCACGGCAATTTTGGTATATCTCTTGTCTTTTTTTAAATGTCCTTCCTTATCTTTCTTCCTCTGTCTTTCGTGTCCACCCTCTCTCCATGTATGGTCCAGGGTCTACCCTCCCCCCCTCCCACCAGATGGCATGGTGTCCAGCCCCCCCCCCCATAATGGGTGCCCCCCCGTGTGGTGTGGTGTGGTGTGGTGTGGTGGTTTGCGCACGTGCGTGCGTGCGTACATGCGTGTCCCTCCCCCCCCCCCCCACCGGCGTGGGTGTGGCGTGGTGTGGTGGTGTGGTGGTTTGCGCGCGTGCGTGCGTGCGTACGTGCGTGTCCACCCGCCCCCCCCTGTATGTGTAGCGTGGTGTGGTGGTGTTCTGTGGTGTGGTGGTTTGTGCACGTGTGTGCGTGTCCCACCCCCCTTTGGGTTTGGTATGTGTGTGTGTGCGTGTGTGTGTGTGTGTGTGTGTGTGTGTGTGTGTGTGTGTGTGCGTGCGTGCGTGCGTGCGTGCGTGCGTGCGTGCGTGCGTGCGTGCGTGCGTGCGTGCGTGCGTGCGTGCGTGAATGCGTGCGTGCGTGCGTGCGTGCGTGCGTGCGTGCGTGCTTGCGCGTGCGCGCTTGCGTGCGTGGCCCTGGCGTAGTCGTCAGCAAAAGCAGCGCTTTCATCGTCGTCGTCTTCACTGTCGTCGTCGTTGCCGCCGTCGTGGTCGTCGTCGTCGCAGTCGTCGCCGCAATCGCCGCCGTCGTCGTCACTGTCGTCGTCGTCGTCGTTGTCGTTGTCGTCGTCTTTCCCGCCGTCTTCGCCATCGTCGTCGCCGTCGTCGCGGCTGTCGTCGCCGTCGTCGTTGCCGTCGTCGTCGCCGCCGCCCCCCCCCCCCCATACCATTTGGGGGGGGGGCGTGGGAAACCCGGGACCCATACCATCGGGGGGGGGGACGTGGGCACCCGACACCCTGGATCATAGATTGGAGGTCGGGGGGTGAGATCGCAGTGAAATTGGTACCCCCCACCGGGAAATTGGTTTCGGATTTTCGTTCGCGCCGCGCGTCGAGCGAGGCGAAGCTGCATTGGCGCGCGAGAGGAATGAACACGCCGCTGCCATAGCGAAACCGAACCAAACGTTGCTGTCCCCCGGTTTGGCCAGCCATGGCCCTGTGGTGTCCCGACGGCGTCCCGATGGTGTGCCGTGGTGTCCCGTGGTGTCCCGTGGTGTCCCTTGGTGTCCCGTGGCGGGAGGCGCGGGGGTGCCCCGAGCTATGCTACATGTTGTGATGTGTCGTGCTAGCGATAGTGCGATCGGTAGTTGGATCCATTGAGTGATAGCGAAATAAACTTCGATCGAGAGATCTATATCGAACTCGAGAATGATGTTTGTACGGTGGTAGATCGAGTGATATGGATAGTGAGATCGATAGTGAGGCTGCTACCACAATTGCTCGTGAAATCGGTCGTGAGATCGATAGTGAGATCGATAGTGAGATCGATTGGGTAGGTGCGATCGTAAAATCGATCGCGGGATCGATCCTTTGTTCGATGAAGAAATCGATACTTCTGTCGATTGAGTGACGTCGACCGTGGGATCGACAGTGGTCTCGACGTGGGAATCAATAGTGGTGTCGGCAGTGGGAACGATTGAGTGACATCGATAGTGGGATCAATCTTGGTATTGATGCTAATATCGGTTGTGCGACCGATCGTCATAGCTATCGTGGCATCAACTATGAGATCTTTCGTGGGGTCGATGTTGATGACGATCGTGATTTTGCGTGATCTACAATGCTATCGATAGTTTGATCGATAGTGGAATCGAGAGTTTTTATCGGTACGCAGACCGAGACTGAGATCTATCGGTGACATCGATAGTGAACTCGATAGTGGCATCGACCGAAAAGCCGGGAACCTGGGAACCAGAATTTGGAGCCCCAGGAACACCGCCACTCACCGAAATCGGTCGGGAACCAGCATTTGGGAACAGGGGAGCCCCCGGAACTGGGAACCCGGGGACCCAGCCGTCCACCGAAATCGGCCAGGATTGTTTGCCAATTCTTTCAACCTCGGCTGGGACCCCATCAGTGCAAGCACCGATTGGGGAACATCGGAACTTCTGGTCAGGCAACGGCCCTCGTCGGCGCGAGCCCATTGTACATTGTCGTGGCAAAAGCCAGGCTCCAGGACGCCGTGCAAATTCCAAAGGGCAAGGCCAATTTGCGCGCGGCGTGCCAGGGCCAGGAGCATTGTTATGGGATGGCGTCTCTACCCTGGGAGCGATCCTCATGGGGGCACCGCGCAAAGGAACTCCAGATTGTTGCGTTCTGGGGCGCATCTGTACAGCCATGGTGTCACCTTCGCAGGCGGGCGACACGTTTTGCTGCGCGGCCGAAGAAGCTTGTTTTTCGTTCCCTCGATGCCTTTCTCCCACCTTCCCTGGTGTTTATGCTTCCGCTGCCGCTGCTGCTATTTCAGTTCCTCCTCGCTATCCTCCCCTTCTTCCTTCATGATTGATTTTTCGACCCGCCAGTATCATAAATCCAGTGGACACATCATGAATGCGTTCGAACCAAATTTAGCCATCCACTGAAGATCAAACACACAATGTTGATCACCTCTTCCTCACTCGTTGTCTTCTCTCTCCGCCCACACTCCGTCACCCTCGTCTCTTTATGACATGTTTTGCAACGTGCGGAAGTATTTGGGGCTACTGGAGCGTCCTTGTTTTGACGGCCATCTTGGAATTCTATGACAGGCACCTCACATCTGGTCTGGAGCGCGCCCTGGCCAGAAGTCAGAGCCAGGTCCAGCTGTGGCGAGGGAACTTCTTAGAAGGCCTAGCAGGGTCCTCCTGTGTGCATTCCTCCTCATCCTGATCCTTCCTGCCCCCCAGAAAATGGAAATCATCAATGTATGCACATTCCCCCCCATCCTCGTCCTCCGTGTCCTACTCGTCTATCTTTCTCCTGGTCCTCGTCCTCTTCATTCTCTTCCACTTCCTGTTCGTCCTCCTCCACTTCTGGTTCTCTTCCACAACCGAGCCCCCCTCTCTTCCGTGTCTCCTCCTCCTCCTCCTCCTCCTCTTTCCTGTTGTTCCCCCCCCGGTCACCCCCCCCTGCCACTGGCAGGCGCTGGCGTGCAAGGAGAACGCCCTCACGGTCAGCTTTCAGATATTTGTATCTACATGCACACAAATATGTGTATACGTATATGTGTAGACGTGTACATGTATTTCAAGTGAAATACCTACTCCCAAAACGGTGCTTACGCGTAGGGCCTCTTATTTCCTTTGCCTCCGCGTCGGCCCGACGGCCATGCAGCAGCCGCCGCCCGCCGCCCTCTCGGCGCCTCGTCGCCGCTCGTCGTCTGGGCCTGCGCGTCGATCTTGCCGCCGCCGCCTCGTCGCCGCCCCTTTGCCCTCGGCCTGCGGGCCCCGATCTGGCCGCCAATTCGCCGCCTCCTCCTCCTCCTCCTCCTCCCTCCTCCTCCTCCCTCCTCCTCCTCCCTCCTCCTCCTCCCTCCTCCCTCCTCCCTCCTCCCTCCTCCCTCCTCCCTCCTCGCCTGCCGCTTGGGCCTGCGGGCCGCTCTTCGGGCGAAGAGAATTATGCACCTGCACCGATCCTGGCAAGGCCCGTCTTTCACCCAGGATCGGTGCACATGCCTTCCTGGCCGAGGTAGGAGGGCGTGTGCACCGATCCTGGGCTCGGGATGGGCCTGGCCAGAATCGGTGCATGTGCATAGTTCTTTTTCCTCTAGCTCTGGCCGCCATGTCGCCGCCGTCGCCGCCTCGTCGCCGCCCGCTTTGCAGTGCTTTGCCGTGTTCTGCATTTCGTTGCATTGTTGCGCATCGTGTTGCATTGCTCCACATTGCTCCGCACTGCTGCGCATTGCGTTGCTGCATTTTGCAGTGTTGCGTGTCATTCAGCACTACATTACATTGAGTTGTATTGCTTTATGTGCGTTGTGTTGTACTGCCGTGCATTGATTAGCATTGTTTAACGCGTACAAGATAGCTTGCGCCACGTCTGTACTCGAGCTAAAAGAAATAGGATCCACCAACCCTCCGGGTGATCCCACCTTGGGGATGTGCAGTATACATGTTTGCGTGCCCCATCGTTCATTGTACCTATACGACCACCCTTTGGGTCATCAGGAGGTTGGGGGATGGGGGGAAGAACCAATTGCTGGCACATGCGATGGGTGTGAAGATGACGATGTTGGTCACACGCCCTCGAGTTAGCGACGCCGCTTGATGACGATGCTGCGCTGCGATGTAATCTCACTATCGTTCCCGCTTTCGATCTCACTCGATCGATTCCAGTGTCGACCTTCAGGGTCGATAACACTCGATCGATCTCACTATATATCCCGCTATCGATCTCACTATACATCTCACTGTACAGCTCGCTTTCGATCTCGCTATCGATCTAGCTATCGATCTCCGTATCGACTCCCGCATCGATCGCACTATCAATCTCACGATTGATGTCACAACAAAATCACAATCAACCTCACTGTCGATCTCACTGTTGATATTACAATACATCCCACTCCAGCGATCTCATGATTGATCCCACTATCGACTTCACTATCGACACCCAGGCGGGTCACCCTCGGCCACCGATGGCAATCGCCGTAGCATAGGTTTTGCAAACTGCGTTGCGGGAGGATGGGTATCATGGTTGCGCGAGCAAAAAGGAGTAGTCAACTTCAAGTATGGCCGGGTGGGTGAGTTGCACTACATAAGTTGCACCACGTGCGTTATATGTTCCAAAGGGTTACGCCATTCCACCGGCCCCGAAGGAGTCCGCGGTTTGGGCGTCGTTGGCTTTTTGGGTGCTATTTGGTGTAAGTTTCGGACAGTACAGTTGGAGCTGCATGTAGTCATGTCGCAGCGCCTTGATCTGTTGCATGTGCGAGATAGGTAGTGGATATTTACAGTCGCTTTCACTGTTCAGCGAAAGGCAGGGGAGGAGGGAGGGAGGGAGGGCGGGAGGCAGATTCGAAGGGTCATGGAGGCCGCTTTTGGGCATCTCAGGGTTCCCGTTTTGGGGGTTTCTTTTGGGCCGCTCTGGGGCTTCTAGGAGGTTTTGGAGTTTCCTTCGTGCGTAAAGGTTGGGTCTACGGTTCGCGAATGTCCTCTTGTTATTTCTGGGGGCCTTGTTGGGGCGATCTTTGGAAGACTTGGGCCGTTTCTTTGGGCCGTTGTGGAACCCTCTTGGGCCGTCCTGGGGTCTTCGAAAGGGGCCTTTTGGGCTGTTTCAGGGCGGTATACTTGGCCTGTTGGGCAGGCCAGGAGTGTCAGAAGTTCGAGAAGACGATAAGTCCCCTTGGCAGCGATTTCTCCTTCCAGTCTTACCCACTTCATTTTTTCACCTCGCATCCTTGCGCGATGCCGCGTTGCCAGGCGTGCATGAGCCATGGTGTGCCAGGCGAGGCGGTCCCGGGCTCGGCTTTCTGCGCCGCGCATGGTGGAGCCTCCGGCCTGACGGTGGCCGCTGACATGACCGGCCTGACGGTGGATGCTGCGCGACTCGACATCGGCGGCGACGGCAACGACGCGTCCACGGCAACCCTGCGACGGCGCCGACCGAGGACGACTCAAGATGGCGGCCTTGTGCGCCGTCGCTGCCACTGGCGCCCTTTCCGCAACAAGCACTACGGAACCAACCAACCACACTACGAACAGAAAGGCACCGGGAATGACCTCGGCTACTCATGTTTGATGTGTGTGTGTGCGTGTGTGTTGATATTTTCCTGCTTCAAGTTCTGTCTCAGGTGTTCGCGGAGGACGGCGCGGTCAACCGTATCACGCTGGTGCGGGCGAGCAGCATGGCCATCGGACCCGAGCAGTAGCCTTTTTCCCGTAGGTTTACACGACACGTAGGATGGATTGCAATTGATTTGCCCACGTGGAGTCCACGATGTTTTGGGAGATGCTTGGCTTGGGGCTGCTGGAAGGACCTGAACCCAGTGATCATCACATAGTCACCCGAGCCAGTACTGCCCGCTCCTTGGGCTCTCTGCCACTGAAAACTCGTCATTGTCTCAGGGCGACAAAACCGAGCGGCGGCAGCTACTTCCGAGATAGTTGCAGCAGCACAGCAACGCGACTCCGAATTGCAAGACGTTCTTCACGAGCGCCGCCGGCATCGGCTCTCGATGCTCCCACGGTGGAAGGAATTGGGAACTTTTGCTGCACGGGCTCTTTCGTCGATCCCTTCCTGCAGTCACGCGTACATTCTTACCCAACGGTCGCAAATCCTTTTGGTCGATGGCATGGACTACTCCAGTGCGATCGCGGACCGCCGGCGGCTGTCGGATTTGTTGGCGAAGGGCGATGAGACGGCTTTGGACGAGATGGGGGGCCATATTATCGGGGCATGGTATCCGAGCGGCACGGATGTTCCATCTCGCATTGTCGCGGCGCAACTACGTCGAGCCGACTTGCGCGTCTCCCGTGGTGCCTCGGTCTCTTCGCGCCTCTTCCATCCTTCCTCGGCGTCGGTGCCGCGGAGGAGATCTGCGACATGTGGCGGCGCCCGCTTCTCGGGGGGGAGCGCGCCTCCTCGGTCGAGCGCGTCGATGTCATCGCGCAGCCGGAGGAACGCACTGTCTCGGGAAGGAGCATTGCGTTTTCGATTTTGTCCGTGCCCATTGCATTCGCTGGGGCGGGCGTGCCCCAACGCGACGTCAAAGTCATTGGATTCCAATGTTTCGGTCGCGCGCCATATTGCCCAGAGTTGCGCGGCGCGACGCGCGTCGGCGACGCGTTGCCCGGCGATCGAGCGTTGGAGTGGAGGCCTGGCCCCCCCATCGAGCAGTGAGTTTTGCCGGTCGCTTCCGAAGCGGTTGCCGGGGGGGGAGGCGCGGCGCTCCCAAAGCGCGCCATTAGACATCCAGTCCAGCCTCGAAGGGCGGCTTCGGCGCGGCGGGACTTACTTGCCAGCGAGGCTGCGGGTGCCCCTTCAGCACCGCGCAAATAGGTGCTCCTCAAGAATGCCATGCAGACTGCCGCTTCGATTTTGCGTCGCGCGACTCCCCTTCGGGCCCGCCCACGTCGCTTGAGCATTGGCTGCGCGTGGCGATGAAATCCCTCAGGGTTTCTGCAGGTGGGTCTACATGCAAGGTTAGCACTTGCGTGAGCTTGCGAAGGGCCGCGACGTTGGCCTGTTGAACCAGCCCCGCGAAGACCCCGGGAACTTGTCGGGGGCGGATATGGGGCGCCTTCAACGAGGGCCCACGGTTTTTCTACCGGGGAAAGCTGCGGGCTGCACCCCGGTCGGCGTCGACATCTACGCGGCGGGCAGCTTGCGGGCCCGCCGCGGACGACCCGATTGCCTGCCGCGCGGCGGGGCCCCGCGTCGAGCGAGCCGTCGGCCTTGGGATCTCCACGGGCGAGAGGTTTTCTCAGGGGTTGTTCGGCGCTCGCCAGCATCTTCGACGTAGAGGGGGCCATTTTGACTAGCGCGCCCTCATTCGAGACGTCTGCCACGGCGCCCTTCGACTTCCCGGCGGCGTTCCCCGGCGTCGGCCGAGATTCCTCGATGGGCGCGCTGTCTGCTTGCGGTGGGCCAGCGTGGTGCATCTGGCATGCGCGTGCAATTTAACTGGTTGCATTAAATCGGCCCGCGGGCATTCGCGCGCGAGTTGCGCCCTTGCTGCGACCGAACGGCGAGGGAGTCCTCTGCCCCTTTTTCTGTTCGCATCACTTTCCGATCTACTACTTCGTCGCCGACGGCGGCTTTTTTCCCAGCGCTGCCCCGCGGTTGCGCGCTGATGACTTAGCCGCGGTCCTCCTGGATAGTTCCACGGTGGCTACCGCGCTGGAGATGCGATTCGAGGCGCGCGAAATCACACCGGGTTTCCGATTGCACCTGGGTGAATCTGAATAAGTGCCTCTGCACCTCGCCAGCTTGGATGTCGCGCGCCCAGATGGGGCGATTCAAACGCGGGCAACTGCGCGACGTACCTTGGATCTGCCGTCGGCCCACGTCGAAGGGGGCTCTCGTGGACAGAAGCGCTTGAGAAATTCGCGGCGAGAGCTTAGATTTGGAGGAGTATTGGTCGTGGTTCTTGCATGTCAATACTCGCTTCCCGCGTGTACATGGCCCCCATCATCGGTTTCCTGTTGCAGCTGGATGGCATTCCTGAGGCT